AGTCTAGCTGAGGTCTGGTGCAAAATGAAAGGTTTGAGACCAAATTTTATTAAAGACTGGTTCTGTGACTTCAGAAACAGCCAAGCCTGTATCGATCTTCATTAGAACTGGGTGGCCACTTAACCAGACACTTATTTTGATTGGTTCTGATTTGGATGTTGCTAAACAATTTAAATGTTCCAAACTAGATGTAGGGCTTTCCAGGATGTGCACTCTTCTGGAAACCGGCCATTGAATTCTCTTACTCTATTTAGGTCTAGTGGGACTCTTTTGCTGTCTCGAGTCCGCATGCTGGCAGCAACTACAATTGCTTGTCGCCTCAGATCCTGAAGAACGTTTTAACCATTTGGCTGAGGCTTGGCATTTTTTTGAATTTTTGCTTTGGGATGGACTAGAGTCCCACTTTTCAGAATACGTCCTGAATGAGGCTATGCAATCGCCTTCACACAACTGCAGGTGTTCCCCAAGCTCAGTCTGACTGGTGAGAACGTCCACTTCCATCGGAATACCCTGCAACTCGTATGCTCCACTTATTTTCCAACGACAAAGCCAGTTGTAGTGCCTGTTTGAAGTTCAGTTGGGTTTCAGCTGGTAGATACTTTTACATGGCTACATTATTAATCCCAAATATCAAATGGTCTTAGCATCTCATTAAGGGTTAAACCAAAGTCACATGCCTCTACTAGTCATCTTAACCTCGTCAAAAGTCCGACACTGATACTCCTGGTTCTCGAAATGCTGAGTAAAACCGATAGCGTCTCGGAATTTGTGGTGGTTCAAGGTTGTAATATTCCTTAACTAAATCCATCAATTTTTCTTTTCTTTTTTAATTCATTTCGTGGGATGTGGGCGTCGCTGGCTGGACAGCATTTATTGCCCGTCTCTAGTTGCCCTTGAGAAGGTGGTGGTGAACTGCCTTCTTGAACTGCTGCAGGCCACCTGCTGTGGATTGACTCAAAATGCCATTAGGAGGGAATTCCAGGATTTTGTCTCAGCGACAAGGAATGGTGACATATTTCCAACTGAGGATGTTAAGTGGCTTGGAGGTGAACTTGCAGATGGTGGCGCTCCTATATATCTCTTGCACTTGTCCTTCTAGATGGAAGTCGTCATGGGTTTAGAAGGTGCTGTCTGAGGATCTTGGGTGAATTTCTGCAGCGCATCTTGTAGATAGTACACACTGTTACTACTGAGCGTTGGTTGTGGAAGGAGTGGATGCTTTTGGATGCAGTGCCAATCAAGTGGTCTGCTTTGTCCAAGTTGGCTTCTTGAGTGTTGTTGAGGCTACACTCATTCAGGCAAGTGGGGAGTATTCCATCGCACTCCTGACTTGTGCCTTGTAGATGGTGGACAAGCTTTGGGGAGTCAGGAGGTGAGCTACTTGCTACAGTATTCCTAGCCTCTGATCTGTTCTTGGGGCCATTGCATTTATGTGGTGAGCCCAGCGAAGTTTTGGCGGATTCAGTGATGGTAACACCATTGAATGTCAAGGGGCAATGGTTAGATTGTGTCTTATTGGTGACGGTTATAGCATAGCATTTGAGTGGCACAAATGTTACTTGCCACTTGTCAGCCCAAGCCTGGATGTTGTCCAGATTTTGTTGCATCTGATTATAGACTAATTCAGTATCTCACGAGTTGTGAAAAGTGTTGAACATTGTGCAATCATCGGCGAACATCCCCACTTCTGACCTTATGATGGAGGGAAGGTCATTGATGAAGCAGCTGAAGATGGTTGGGCCGAGGACACTGCCCTGAGGAACTCCCGCAGAAATGTCCTGGAGCTGAGATGACTGACCTCCAACAACCACAACTATCTTTCTGTGTGTCCTGTATGATTCCAACCACCAGAGAGCTTTCCCCCAATACACATTGATTCCAGTTTTGCTAGGGCTCCACGATGCCACACTCGATCGAATGCAGTCTTGATGTCAAGGGCTGTCACTCTCATCTCACCTCTGGAATTCAGCTCTTTTGTCCATGTTTGAACCAAGGCTGTAATGAGGTCAGGAGCTGAGTGGCCCTGGCAGAACCCAAACTGGGCATCACTGAGCAGGTTATTTCTGACCAGGTGCTGCTTGATAGCACTGTTGATGACATCTTCCATCACTTTATTGATGATCGAGAGTAGACTGATGGGGCAGTAATTGGCTGAGTTGGATTTGTCCTGCTTTTTATGTACAGGACATACTTGGGCAATTTTCCACATTGTCAGGTAGATGCCAGTGCTGTAATTGCACTGGAACAGCTTGGCAGGGAGCAGCATGTTCTGGAGCACAAGTCTCCAGTACTATTACCAGAATGTTGTCAGGGCCTGTAGCTTTTTTAGTGTCCAGTGCCTCCAACCGTTTCTGGATATCACGTGGAGTGAATTGAATTGGCTGAAGACTGGTATCTCTAATGCTGAGGACAACTGGAGGAGGCAGAGATGGATCATCCATTTGGCACTTCTGGCCATTTCAGAGGGCAATTGAGAGTCGACCACATTGCTGTAGGTCTGGAGTCACATGTAGGCCAGACCAGATGAGGATGGCAGATTTCCTTCCCTGAAGGACATTAGTGAACCACATGGGTTTTCTGACAATCGACAGTGGTTTGATAGGTTTTACTATCTGGTGTTTCAGGAAGAGAAGGATCCTAATAACTGAAAACGCTGCAGCTCCACAAGCTGTCAGGTGAATTATTTGTTGCTTTCCATCTGGTCCAATGTTATTTGCCCAAATAAAGCGCATTCTTTCCACATACTGGGCCCATGCTTCAATGGCAGGATTGAACGAGTCAAGCCAAAAATATTTATGCCAACTTAAAGATGACTGTTGCGAGCAAATTTCTTCAGGAACGTTCTATACTCTCATCGGCACTGAAGTAGCTCTGCAGAGGCAGGTATCCCGTCACCAAGTCACCCTTTATTTACATGTGGGAAGTCCTTGACACTGATCCAGTTCCCTCACAGCCAGCTCTCAGAGTGACAGCATATATAACAGTTCTCTTTTTATCTGTCAGTTCGGGCTCCCTGATTGGACAATATTAACAGCACTAATCAGGGAACTCATTTTATGAGATCCACCTGGCTGACATGGTCACAATCATGCTATCCTTGTCATTTTTCTGTATTCTGCCAAAGTTACATTATTAATAATAAACTGTGAAATTTTGTTTAGGTTAAAAAATTGGTGTTCAAGATCAGTTATTTGTAAAGTTTGCTTAGGAACAATTGGGAAATTTTGCTGGTCATTGAATGTTTTAATTTCACCATATTGCAAATCTAGTGATAGTGAAGCTGATTTGGTTTGGCAATGCTATCACTATATCGTAATACTGGGAGAAGTACACCCTGAATCGCTGCACATGATGCAATCAAATAAAATTATGCGACTTCCTTTGAAAGCAACTGAATATCAGAAGGAAACAGAAAATACAAAGCAACCCAAGTCAGCGTCTTATTCAAAACTATCCTGTCCTGTTTACAGCAAAACCGTCTGGGCACAAATCAGCTATAGCAGTCATCTATGCACCCACTGGAACCCTACCAAACACCCCAGAAGTTAAACAAAAACAAAAGTTATTGGAAAAACTCAGCAAGTCTGGAAGCATCCGTGGACAGAAAGGAGGGAAAGGTTTTGGGTTCAGTGACCCTTCTTCAGAACGCCAGATGTTAACCATGTTCACATTCACTTTGGAGGTCAAACAATATATTTTCTTCCTATGATTGGCCAAATTACTGGAAATGGTTGTGAAGATACTTAAGGTTACAAATCACTGGCCCAAATTGGTCTTATGAGGAATGTAGGATTGAACTGATGGAGGATTGTGAACAATCATTGCTCATTAATAGTTTGTCTTGGCTACACAAATTCAGGCTGTTCTGCTGCTGCTCCATGTCTGTAACCCTGTCTACACAAGATGATTTCTCCAAACCCCTTTCTCTAAACTCCACCTACCTTCATTGGGCCCAGGGGCTGGCCAAATCTCAATTTTGCTGCACTCTGCTGATTTAAACTGAGGCCTGATGCTCAAAAGAGACCAGATTTCATTCAAGTCCAGCAGCTGGTCAGTACATTCTGTTGGCTGAATAACTAAAGTCCACTTGGTGGAGGCAAGCCACCCTTTAAAGCCTAACATGTTACTTTGCACAATAGACTGAGAGCTTAATTTCGATGAATAACTAATGCAGTCTTGGATACCAAATGCCATTCAGTTCCACTATTCTGATTGTCCTGTTCCAATTCTTAAATTTAAGTTGTTTTGTTCATGGTAACTTGGATTTTATGAATCTACGATAAGCGTAACTAACTTTAAAGAACTTTTTCTCTAACTGCTGATCTAAACCTTATAACAGTAACAATTATGTTATAACAGTTGCAGTCACGCAAAGTAATATCTGGTTAGCAACTCTTAACGCCTTTGGTCAACAAAGACATAAATCACACTGCAGCTAATACGGTACAGAAGTGCTGCTAATGGAAACACTGATCAGATTTGTTCATGTAGGATAATTAAAGCATCATACAAGAAAATGTGGACATAGACATAAGCTGATCCTCTTTTATTGCTGACAGAAAAGGAGAACACTTTCTAGAGGACCTTCAGCTACTATGCATTGTACATTCGTTTGCATATTCCTTCCAGAGGAATTCTTCAAGATCTGAATTTAACATAACCTTTACATAACTAACATTAGCATTTGATTATGATTGACAATTTTGTTTTATGAAACGAACTGTTATAGTCTCAAAAGCATTGCTTAAAAGGATAGTGAAAGCGTGTTGGAAAGTAGCTTTTAAAAAGGAATTGAGTACATGCATTGAAACTCAAAAACATGAGGGCTATCGGGGAGTGAAATAATTAGATAGTTCTTTCATGGCTCTGGCATAGGCACTATTGGGCTGAGTATTCTCCTGCATTATGTAGTTCTGTGATAGGGAACAACAGGGAGTGAGGAAGAGAATATAAAATATATTTCCACTCTTTCCGAGCATTATAATAGCCTTGAAACTCACAATTTGCTTTCATAATCTTTCCAAGCTTTTTCAAAGGGCTTCTTTAAATCCTGTAAAAAAGTGTAAAAAGTGTAAAAAGGAGTAAATAGAATTATTTCATAAAACAATCACAGAATCCCTATAGCATGGAAGCAGGCCATTTGGCCCATTGAATCCACACTAACCTTCCGAAGACCAACCACCCAGACACAACCCCGAATTTCCCATTGCTAATCTACCTAGCCTGTCCATCCCTGGACACTACAGACAATTTAGCATGGCCATCCATCTAACCTGCACATCATTGACTATGGGAGGAAATCAGAACACTCGGAGGAAACCCATGCAGACACAGAGAGAACGTGTAAGCTCCGCACAGATAGCCGCCCAAGGGTAGTATCAAACCCGGGTCTCTGGCGCTATGAGGCAACAGTGCTAACCACTGAGCCACCATGCCACGTGCCTAGTGATGTGACTGGGATTGTATTAGCTGAAATGCCTGTGCTAATCCATTTCATGTGGCAAATTCTGGTGCTAAGAAGCTAGTAAGCCTGTCTTAATATATTAGATGTACGACACAAGCTGCATTCTTTCTTTTGGCATCACTATTCTGTGACTCAGTAATAGCTGCGACTGTGGACTTTACTGTCAAAGTTAGCTTTTATTGTCCATCTCTAAATTACTCTTAGAAAGGTGATGAGCTGCTTTCCTAAACTGCTGTTTTGCCTGTTCTGAACTTAGATATTGACTTAATGGCAGCATTGAATTTGAGCCCAATCCTTGACCATTAACCATATACAAATGCCTTTCCGGAGCAGTCAATGAATAGTCATGAATGATGGGTGTGAAATTTGACTGATTTTTTTACCTTTCATCTCAAGGTGCTAAAGCTGATTTAGTGTCTCAGTTGCTGCCCTGAGTTTGGCCAATTCAGTCTGTGCTGGGAATTAGCTTTCAGCCTGCATGATTTGATATTGCAATATGGCTTTTTAAAAAGTGGCTTTACTTGTATAAGTAATGACCAACAACTACCATCAAAAGAATTGCAAAACCAAGATATTTACTCATATTAATTGTTATGTCACAAAGCTCCCACTTAAAGTTTATTTTGTAAAAGTATAGTCAATATTGCCTCACCCCCTTAACTCCTTTTAGTTCTCCTTTCAGCAGTGAATTTAGGAAAAAGACAATGTGATTCACACTCTGCATCTAAAAGTAAAAAAAATACAATCAAGATAGAGAAAGCATTGATACTGTAGAACAAATAAACAAAATAGACAAATGTAAAAGGCAGAGGGCAAGTGTAAAGTTATGTACTTTGAATGAAATTAATCTTATCCACTAATGATCCAGTGATCTTATTAAGTAGTGGTTGTACAAATAAAAAGAGTGCAGATTCAATCTCCAGTTGGCTCTAATTTGGGTAGTTGAAGAGTTCTGGAAGGGAGAATCTAGCAGGGTTCATGCTTCTGAGCATTACTCAGTGGATTAGCCTAAAAACTTGGTCATTTGGATAGAGGGATAGGATACGATTGGGTTTAATCATTCCTCCTGCAGTCAATTGGCCTGGCAAAGCTTGCAAAAGAAACACAGCTCTGAGTGGGGCAGCAGAAGATGGGAATTAAAAATTAAGGAAAGAAAAAAAATTACCTACCCTCTTCTTCTGCTCCACATAATTTAAAATAAAATCTATGGGTGGAATCTTATCAGGGTCCGAGTGATACAGGTTATGACTAAATGTGTGGAAGAATTAGGCCACTAGTTCAGAGACATCAGGAGAAACATGCACCTTATCTTATGCTTTTCACAAATGGCATGGTGAGATTCTCCCTAGGCAATGAGGAGATGCCAATTGATGGGGATTAACGCTTGTTAATGGCCGCAACTTATTAGTATTCAGCCTCCCATTTTATGAAACCCACCAAACAAGCTGGTGATTGAGAAAACTCAACAATGTTAGCCTGACTGGGGTAGCATGCTGGAAATCAAGCTCCACTATTCTTGGTGTTGTCACAAAAGCTGAAGGTTTTAGAAATGTATGTGAAATTAACTAATTCACTGTTGATATACAACTCTACCAGTTAAAACTATAACCTCTTTATAAATTACCCCGATACATATAGACAGATACGGACAGGAAAAAACGGGTGTTATAGGAAGAGGGTAAGACTGGAAAATCAGTCGATGTTCACAGGGTTCGCTGAGATGATCCTTTTGGCTCATCAGGATGTGTGCTCCTTTATCTATCCTTCTCCAGGTACTTTCACTTCCTTGCAGAAAGCATAGGGCCCTAGTTCACATTTATAAGGGACCAAGCTGTATCTCTGGGCTCATCGTCCACTTACACAGTGCTTACTCAGTTTTACCCTAGCTGGATACTCACACCATGTCTGCCCAGCATTACTTTTTTCCCACTCTGCTCTCTCAGTTAAAGATACTAGTTCATATTATTGCTGTCTTGCCAGGCAGTTTAGCACAGTCACAAAGTCAGAAAGCTTGTCATATTGTCAGCAGGCCCTCAGTCAAGGGACTAGCCTTTGCCCAGGACTTGTGGGCACAGAAAATCAAGGACTGGCTCAAATACCAGTTGAAGCCTTGCTCCAGGCAGACAGAATCATCTCCTCATAAAGGCTAAGCAGCTAATTGATAGACAGCTCATCACACACCCAAATTGGATCTTTCTGCCCAATTGCAGGATGTTTTCCCTTCGGAATGTAAAAAAGGCAGGTATTATGGAAGACTAAAGTGGATGTGCGTCTGTGAGGTGTCCAGAGCAAATTAACACACAGCGTACAGGCCAGGCAAAGTTAGTGGTGTCAGGGCCCAGGTTGGGAGCGGGCAAGTGGGGAAGAATTCACATGAAATTTGAGATGGGCATTTTGAGATCAAGAAAGAAGTGGTATTGGATCTCTTGAAGAGCATTAAGGTAGATAAGTCTCCATGGCCCGATGATATCTACTCCAGGTTATTGAGAGAGGCAAGAGAAGAGATTGCTGGGGCCTTGACCAAGATCGTTGTATCCTTGCTAGCCACTGGAGAGATCCCAGAAAACTGATGAGTAGCTAATGTTGTTCCTCTGTTCAAGAAGGGAAATAAGGCTAATTCAGGAAACTACAGACTGGTGAATCTCACACAGCTGGTTGGGAAGCTATTGGAGAGAATTCTTAAGAATAGGATTTATGCACATTTGGAAAAGAATGGCCTAATTTGGGACAGTTAGCATGGCTTTGTGCAGGGCAGGTCTTATTTACTAACTTGATTGAATTTTTCAAGGAGGTGACGAAGGTGATCGATGAGAGTTGCCTACATGAATTTTAATAAGGCTTTCGACAAGGTCCCTCGTGGTAGGCTCATCCAGAAAATTAAGATACACGGGACCCACGGTGACTTGGCCACATGGATTCAGAATTGGCTTGCCCGTAGAAGGCAGAAGGTAGTAGCTGCAGGTTTCAGCCTGGAGGTTTGTGATTAGTGGTGTTCCACAGTGATCCGTACTGGTACCTCTTGCTGTTTATGATATATATAAATGACCTGGCTGAAAATGTATAAGGATGGATTAGTAAGCTTGCAGACGATACAAAGATTGGTGGAGTTGTGGATAGTGTAGACGTTTGTCAAAGGATACAGCAGGATATAGGAGGAGAAATGGCAGATGGAGTTTAATCCAGGTAAGTGTGAGGTGCTGCACTTTGGGAGATCAAATGTTAAGGGAAAAGTATACTGTTAGTGGCAAGACCCTGGACGCATTGATGTACAGAGGAATCTTGGGGTTCAAGTCCATAGCTCACGGAAAGTTGCCATGCAAGTAAATAGAGTAGTAAAGAAAAAGTATGGCATTCTTGCCTTTATGAGTCAGGGAATTGAGTACAAGAGGCAGGATAGCATGTTGCAGCTTAGTAAGACTTTGGTTAGGCCACACGTAGAGTATTGCATTCAATTCTGTTTGCCACATTACAGGAAGGATATGGAGGTTTTGGAGAGGGTGTAAAAGAGGTTTACCAGGATGCTGTCTGGATTAGAGGGTACGAGCTATAAGGAGAGTATAGAAAAACTCAGGTTATTTTCTCTGGAGCAGTGAAGGCTGAGGAGAGACTTGATAGAAGTCTATAAAATTATGAAGGTCAGAATCTTTTTCCCAGAGTTAAAATGTCTAATACTAGGAGGCAAGCCTTTAAGGTGAGAGGGGAAAGTTCAAAGGAGATGTGAGGGACAAGTTTATTTACACAGAGAGTGGTAGGAATCTGGAACGTACTGCCAGTGGTGGTGGTAGAGGCAAATACGATAAGGGACTTTTAGATAAGCACATGAATATGCAAGGATTGGAGGATATGAACCACGGGCAGGCAGAAGGGATCAGTTTAATTTGGCGTCATGTTTGGCACAACATCGTAGGCCGAAGGGCCCATTCCTGTGCTGTCTTGTTCTATGTTCTATGTAATACTGAGAGTGGTTGTTAGGAGTGGATACAACAGCAGAAGTAGAGTATATATGAGATATTGGAGAGAAGCTGTCGGCACTTAAACTGGCAGAGTGGAGAAGGACATTGATCTTCTTCCTACAGTGCTGTACATTCCTCCAGATCGCTGAGACTGCTTCAACATGAATAGTAACCTCAGACCAGTGTAGCATGGGCCGGTGTTATAGACTCCTCTGCTGGTCCTGGAGATACAGGAAATCCTGTCTATGAACCACCCCATCCATCTGGACATCCAGGCCTTACCCATAAAGCTGGGTGCTGATTTCCCTTGTCTAGCATGTCTGATGCAAATGGCAGCAACCATGCAGGACAGCTCTGGACTGACAGTGCTTGTCCTGGTGCATAAGGAGCTTCTAAAGATGGCAAGGATGCAAGGGATGCTGGTGAATTCTGGGATATCTGTTGAGTGGCAAGTTGTTCCAGAAATGGCAAGTTGTTCCAGAAATGGCAAGTGGCCAGGACGTAGTAATCAGCTCTGCCTTCAACACCATAATTCCAACCAAACTAATCTCCAAACTCTGAGGTCTTTGCTCCACCCTCTGCAATTGGATCCTTGACGTCCTGACCCACAGACCGCAACCAGTGAAAATAGACAACAACACCTCATCCACGATAATCCTCAACCCTGGCGCCCTGCAAGGATGTGTACTCATGCCCTTACTATACTCCCTGTACACTCATGACTGTGTGGCCAAATTCCTTCCTAACTCCGTGTACAAGTTTGCTGATGATATAACCGTAGAAGGCTGGATCTCCAACAATGATTAGACAGAATACAAGAAAGAGGTAGCGTGCTTGGTAGCATGGTGTAAAGATAACAATTTCTTCCTCAATGTCAGTGAAATGAAAGAGCTGGTCATTGATTTCAGGAAGCAAGGTGGAAGACACACCCCTGTCCACATCAATGGTGCTGAGGTGAAGATGATCGAGAGCATCCAGTTCCTAGGAATGAGGATCACCAACAATCTTTCCTGGTCCACCTATATTGACCGTACGGTCAAGAAAGTACAACAATGCTTCTACTTCCTCAGGAGGCAAAGAAAATTTGGCATATCCATAAAGACGATTACTTTTTTTGATGCACCTTAGAAAGCATTCTATCAGGATACATCACAGCTTGCTATGACAATTGCTCTGCCTAGGACCATAAGAAACTGCAGAGAGTTGTGAACACAGCCCAGTCTATAATGCAAACCAACTTTCCATCCATTGATCTCATCTATACTTCTCGCTATCTTGGGAAGGCAGCCAATATAATCAAAGACACCCCTCATCCTGGCTATAATCTCTTTCAATCTTTTCCATCAGGCAGAAGATACAAAAGCTTAAACACACATACCAACAGATTCAAGAACAGCTTCTTCCCTGCTGTTACTAGGCATCTGAATGGAGCTCTCAAATTTTAAGTTTAACATTGATCTTACTCTTTGTGCACCTTCTCTACAGCCGTAACATTGTATTCTTCATTCTGTTCTATTATTCCAATTCACTTTGTATGGTATGATCTGCCTGTACCACATGCAAACCAAAACTTTTCACTGTACCTACGTAGGTGGCATGAAAGGGAGAGTTGGACATGGGATGAGGCCGGAGGTGGGGAGATTCTAGTACTGGTGAATTCCGTGTTTAGGCCTTCGGGCTGTAGGCTCCCGAGATGGAATATGAGGTGCTGCTCCTCTAGTTTGCAGATGGTGTTTGTTTTTGTTGCGGGGAGGGAATGGGAGGGCAGAGA